GTCTTAAGGATTTACCGTGCCAACTGCCTTTAGGTAAGTACTAAGTAATTAACTAACACAGGCCTGCGAGACTTGCGTACATATGGGCTCGGGCCCTGCCCGAAGCTGAATGTTTTGCTCACAAATCAAATTCCCCTGACCCGTACATCTTGACGTTTCAGGTCATACCGACAAGTATTTGGTCCTGATGACGCCCTCGAACATATTGATTTCCAACTTCCGGGTCAAAGCGCCGGTCTGGTTCGTCTTTCCTTCATAACAGTTTCTTACTCTGTGACAATACCTAGGCGATGTAATAGATTTAGGATTCTGAATCGAATGCCATTGACTATGACGAAGCCAGTAGCGAAGATGTGGAACAAATCGGCTCGGTAAATCCTTTCAGACCGGCGATTGATAAGAACTGCAGCGGTTGTGGAGCACAATTACACTGTAAAGTAGGTAGATCGTAACCCATCTGGCTTTGCCAATGGATTTATATGAACTGATTTTCCATTTGTAGCTGAACACTTTAGGATGCTTCTCTACCAGGTTTTTTACCCGAGGAGCTACTCGATAAAGCAGCTCGCAAGAGAGCCTCTTCAGAAGCAATATTATGTCGGCGATGTCACCTCTTGAAACACCATAATTTCTTGGTATGGTTACACCCTCATTTCCATGCTAGGATCAGGAGGCGGTCAGGAGATCCGAGCTGCGGCGCCACGCAGAAACTGGCTGGGCGCGTGCGGCATTCCATATCTGCTTGACTAGGATTTCTATAGACACTGATAGTGAGCTAATCACAATACAGTAAGTGCTGTTCTTGTGCGCCTACTGTAGATTACTGTGGTCAGTCTGTACCGTAGATTTATTGTAGTTTGCACTTTTCTTAAGTCCGATTAGGTCTTGGTTTGAGTGCCGCACGTGAGCAAGCTGCCTTCGGCTTCGCTACTCAGATCTCCTGACTCGCTCCCATGCGGCCCGCAGGAAAGGCCTAGAGCCAGCTTTCAGAATTGTGGAACATTCCATGCTCACTAACTATTTTCCAGCTGAATGTTAACGTTTGCCCGGTGGACTATGAATCCGTCATGTCATGCCTTCGACTGAATCCCGAAGCCTTAGTGTTGTTGGTTGTGGATGTTACTGATATCCCAGGAAGCATTCATCAACAGCTTCCGAGAATTATCGGGCCACGACGACCCATGATAGTTCAGTGTAGTTGACAATTTTCTTTTGAACTGGATCACTAAGCATTTAAAGGCAGCGCCCGCGTTCATTTGATGTTCCTACGCCCTCCTTAGATATCGTAGCTTTGTCGACAAGGGTGGAGGATGTACTAATTTCGCAGCTCAAAAATACGAGAGGATGGCGCCACCCGCTTGTGAAGAGGATGCCGCCCCGCCCACCTGGCTGCCATAACTGCTTTGGCTTAGCCTTGAAGGCTGAGCCCGCTTTCAAGAATAATGAGTTATGGAGCTCATATAATACGTGATCCAGTAGTGAAGAAAAAAGCAGAAAAAAATCATGGAAAATGCCCTATATAGAACCCTATGCTGGCCAGGTGGGCGGGCGGCCGACTCTTCACTAGCGAATCGCGCATAGTTTTGCATCTCGAAAGGCGCTGTCCTCTCGCCTTTTTGAGATGCAAAACTAGTACATACTGCATCCTCATAGGGAGGGCTATGATATCCAGAGAGGCGCGGGAACATCAAATGAACGTGGGCGCTGCCTTTACATTGTTCTACGCGTTTGAGAGAAAAATGAGTAAATGGTGTGTCTCAAAAGGTACCATTGGTCCTTTGCTCCTTTGTTGTTTGAAATCCAGGTCAGATTCTACATAGAAATCTGTCCCTTGGGTATATTAGGAAATAAAATTGTTCTTGGAGACCTAAGGGTTGCATATCACTTTTGTTTGATCGGAGTTACACTCCGTACTCCAGAGAAGGCTGCGCTGGGCGTGTCTGCTTCCTTCATTCAATCACGGGACTAATCGTGGGATGTTTCCACCTAAGCAACTATCGTCGTGTCATGTATTGGACAAAGACATGGTTTCCGAATCGATAATATCTTACCAAAAGCGCTACGTTCAAGTGAAGTAGGCAGCCACGCCCTCCCTATCTCCCGGATATGAAGCATGCCTTGTTTCCGCACCACAGGTGCAAGCGCTGATACGCCAATAGCCCTAATTTTGGAAATTTTGTTTTTGGAGGTCATTCACCCCCTTCCCCCCTCCCCTCCGGCTTCCTCCCCACCCCAATGCGAATAGAATACGAATATCACTTCTCTTTGGCTCCAATACGCTTGATGTCCATGCTACAGACGCCGACGCGAAGAGCGCCCAGTGCAGCGGCGCCAGCTACTTTCGCACCAGACAGCTGTGGTATTAGGGTGCAGTGACAAACAAATACAAAATTGAAATATTTGTGTTCCGAATGTCAAGCCCATTACGACAAATACATCTCCCAGGTATATTTTTTCCGGAGAGAGAACAAACCCAATTTTCGTAAGGGTAATAAAGGTCAAATAGTTCAGGACTAATTTGTTTCGTTCAAAAAACCCATTAATTTATGGCTTCCAGCAAATAAGGTTGACCTTCTTCCACCCGATGCAAAGTGCGGTTATTTGAAGAGGTTCAAGAATGTCGTTGAAGAAGCCATTGCGGAGGCGGGTTTCCGTGATCACTTCACTATCCTTCACACAGCTCTTGTGAGCGCCAAAACTGGCTACGGTATCGAAGACTTGATTACGGTCAGTTCTATGCCTGAGTTTATTTTGTTTGAGTTTTAGTTTATTTTTTTAATTTCATCCGCACTCAGAGTAACTTAGGATGCCTTCAAGCTGGTTACTTTCAGGAGATTCACCTGAAATATACCAACGTCAAGGAAGGTATTCGTAACGATATCTACCTTGTTGGATGTACAAATGCGGGAAAATCGTAAGTGGTTACGCCTTTTTTTCTGCATTTTAGCGCAGTTCGGCTTGGAGGGGCATTTTGCTAGTACCATTGATCACTGTTGACTACTGGTGTAAGTTCCTGTAAAGCTATGCAAGAGCATGAGCTTCGTTTACACTTGACAAGAGTCTACATGTCTCACCAAGTCGGACGTGTAATTCAACAGGAACTGTCAAAAGGAACTTGCAACGGTTCGAAATGCCCCTCCCAAGCCGAACTGTGCCGTTCTTCAGTAGGAAATTGCTTTCCCAAAGTATAGCTTTGATCACTTTGTTCAGGAGCTTATTCAACGCCCTTCTGCAGTCAGATCTATGCAAAGTACGTGCTGTAGATCTTGTTGAACGAGCAACAACGTCAGTGTGGCCTGGTACAACGGTACGGCATCCGCATAACTTTTCTCTACTAAAGTAGAAGGAAAAAAGAATATGGTGTTCAGTGTAAATTACGACTTTTCTGGGAAGCGCCGTGCATTCCGCTTCTATTGAAAATCGCAAAGACGAACGATTTCTATTTTCCAAATGATTAGAGAATGTGTGGTGCTTTCTTCCCCAGAGGGGATCAGATGCGAAATAAACGACCTTGGGTGGCCGAAAGGATTGGTTGCCTGGGTGAGGTCCTGATAAAAGTTAGTCCCAGGGTATTAGCAGTATAGAAGGCGCTACTCGCTACTACACCCCTGAGCCCAATTTAACGTTTATCGCACTCTTCTCGCTGCTGAAAATGATTCTAATCTGTTTGGGTTTTCCCGTGATGATAAGCACATCAGTGTTTTTTTTAAGAATCTGGTACCAGTTAATTGGTCCCAAAGGGTGGAAGGCTCACTTGACCTGTGCGGGGATCATCCAGTATTTGCCCGAAGAAACGTAAGGAGCTTGAAAGCGGCTTTTCAGATTCGAGGAGAGAATTCTCTGAAACCATTCAGCTTCGACATCATCAGTCAGAATTGAGCGCAATTCGCCTTGAAGGGGCACCGAATGGCACTTAGCGTGTGTGTGAACACCTGTGAACCCCTGTGAATTACTCGAACAGTTTCGCAGCTTCGCGGGGTTTTTCAAAGTGAGACCTGTCGGTTACCATGAGCAAACAAAAGGAAGTAGCGAAAGTGCCCCCTTCAAACCGTCCAGCGCCTTGCATTGTTTATACCCGAATGCTTGTTATGTAACTGATTTGATAAGGAGGGCAGAGAGTTATAGAGAACAGTTGTTATTGTTTAGTAACTGCTGTTTAACGCCGCAGTGCGCGATCCGAAAGCTATCACAAGAATGCTGAGTTATGGGCAAAAGTCGGACCACGGACGGGATTCGAACCCGCATCTTCTGCTCAATGGCTATTTGCTTTCGGATCGCGCACTGCGGCGTTAAACAGCAGTTACTAAACAATAACAGCTTGAAACTTGTAAAAGCCTTCAGCCTTGCGGTTCACTGCCGATATCGGCTAACCGGCTCATCACGTTGAACGTGTGAGTGCTCGAAGGCAATGGCACAAATAGCCATTGAGCTGAGTGGTCAAAAGTGGCCCCGGTAGCGTAATAGGGAACGCAGCTGCACGGAAAGCAGAAGATGCGGTTCGAATCCTGTCGTGGTCCGACTTTTGCCCATAACTCAGCATTCTTGTGATAGAGAACAGTGTTTTGACTGGTGGTACAATTGGGACTGTGACTTGTGAAGTTTCTAGATCGGCTTCGAAATTGAAGCCATAGTTCATGCTGGCCGCATGGGCGGAGACAGCTCACTATTGTGCCTTTGTCGCTTGGCGCCTGTCCCTTTTGCCGTCGTAGAATGAAGACTATGGGGAAGACACCATGAGTCTGCTCATCTGATCAACCTAGAGGGTGCCTCTATTACGCTCTCCTGAATAGTAGGATTTTCTTTTTCAGCTGTCGCTGCTGAAATTCCCCATAATGAAGCCATCAACATATCGATTAGAACTACGTAGACGTCGAATGCTTCAGCACAGAGCGTGGCTGCAGAGGGAGATGTATAGCAGGTGAGCGCTGGTCGATTTTCTGTTTATATTAGGAGTTGCACTGGCAGTGAAATGTAGCGCAGTTCGACCTGGTGGAGGCATCTTGCTGGTTTCCATTACCGATGCCTTCTAAGGAGATTTTCAACTTTCTGTGAAGCCATAGAAAAGCATGAGCTTCGTCTACATTTGACACGGGGTTCAGATTTCACCAAGAACAGACGTGCAATTTAATAGGAACTAGCAAAACGAACTAGCGAAGGTGCAAAATGCACCTCCTAAGCCGAACAGCGTCAACCGTTTGGCTTTCGATTTTCTTGTGCTGCCTAGAGTTTGTCAGAATTTGGAATTTTTCAAAGGGCTTGCGGTAAATTAATGCTGAGAATTTAAAACACTTTCCATGAGCTGTTTTCTTCTCAGACTTTTTTTTGATCAATATGAAGAGCTTCTGGAGATTAGATGTTACATAATTTGAGGAAACTTATGTTGCAACAAACCGGCGACCCCAAGTATGCGGTGCTGATAGGAACTATTCAAAACACATACAAGGCGAGTTTCACTTCCAGTAACACCTTTGTGATGATTTGTAATTCGAGGGGGCAGCTGCATTAGGAAGCAGACTATCGACACAATTTGCAGTATTTTAGACAAGGCCCGTCATCATATTCTAAACGGGACCCGTCATCACTGGGTCCAGCTTTGTTCCCTGTGGACGCTGACGCGTTTCAGGGGGTTGGGTCTGGCAAGGCGCCACCTAGTTTTCCACCAGTTGTAGTGCCTGCCAGCTACCACAATTGGTGGAGAACAAGCTGGTGGCGCGCCAAAGCCAGCTCCGCTGAAACGCCCAGCATCCGCAGCAAACAAGGCTGAGAACACAACAGGGATCGTATATTGCTGCGACAGGGTCATACTTTACTTCAGGAAATTTCCTTTGTGTTCATTTTTCCCTATTTCAGTTTCGTGTTAAAAGCGTATGGAAATTATGATGGAGAGGGGGGGGGGTGGGTAGGACCAAAGGACGAAATGGAAAGGGTGTAAGGTGGTATTGACGCTTAACACAACGCGATGATTGCCCTATTTCTGAAGCTTCTAGATGAAAGTAATCGTAATCGTTCTTGAAGTCGCGTTCCACACTGTCGAAATGGGCGGAGTCACCCATACCTTCGCGAATTTCTCATTGGTGTTCATTCCTCTCGGACTAGTAGTAGGAGGTTGGCTCATTGATGAGAAGGAAGCGTTAGCCGCAACTTTGCTTATGAGTTCACCGTGCCTTCAGCGTTCGAGGAAGAATATTCAATCTTTTGTCTAATTAATGCACTAGAAATAAGCTTCTGTACCAGAGCTAGCTGTCAGAACATTTAAAAACATCAGTTTTTCTATAGTCAGTGTGCGTCGCATACATGGCGCATTTTGAATCCATCCATCACTGAGGTATCATAATTGGTAGTTTCAGGACAAGGAAGATGAGCAGCAGCCGATAGCCCTCAGCAAAATTATCAGCGATCCTTCTGCTGAAGATTCAGAGCCTGCTAAGGGGTATGTCGTTTTCAGGGCATCCCTTTCATGTTTGGACTGGCTCTAGATGATTGGTCGTCGTTAGACACTGATACTACCAGGCTGTTCTGTGATCCTTGTCCGATTTTCGGCACTTTTGTGTGCCCTTTGTTTATATTGCTGTGCCTCGGAAGGTTTTGGGTAGAAAACTTCATTTAACGGCCTTACATTCCCCCATGGTCTTCTTCAGAGGCCAGGCTTTCACCGTGAATCCCCTGTAACATACAAATACTGGTTACTCAGTACCGAATGTGAAGGCTCGTTGTTTTGCAATACTGGTCCTGTTTCTAGGAGCCCTACTTAAAGGCAAGTGGCACGATAAATCCCCAAGAAGTTTAGGATTGATATGCCTAGCAGGACTGAAATCGGCGCCTCTGGGCAGAAGCTGCGCGGCGCCTTTTCCTCGGTCGGTACCCTTATAGGGCCCTATCAGGTGCAATACACCGATCCGGATGTCCACGGGCCCGCTCGCCCATAAATGTCCGACCGATGCTTATCGCTTCATTTGCAAAGTACAATATGAAGTAAAGCAATTGATGGGAAGTGGCTGCAGTGCTGTACGGCTATATAAGTACATACATGCAGCCGTATCTACCGTAGCGGTTACTGGCCTTATGCCAACGGGGAACTCGTCCGAAACTGGTTTTTGAATCATGTGGGATAAAGGCTTTTTAGCAGTTTTTTGACCGTTTCTCTTTGCTCTTTCGGCATTTTTCCCTCGATATAGCACCCCTGATACCATTTTAAGCAGAGTACCAATTTAATCAATGCCTTATATCTTCGAAGCTCCCATTCAGATCGAGGCACTTCGCTAACCCTGGGGATACATTTCAGAAAAACGTATCCTGCAAAAATTTCCTCTTCTGGAGCACCCGCCTAGGCAGGTGACGCTCCAAAGTTCTGTTGCAAGTACTGAAAGTCATAAAGATGAGCCCCTCCCTCTCTGCAAAGCGAGCAAACAATACGACCCTGAGCTGCCTCCAGCCAATTTGAGTGCGTCTCTCCATAGTTTTGGGGAGCAAGCGTGAAGCGTGAAAAAATCAGCCATCGGAAAAAAATTTCTCGAATCAAATACGTCCCCTCCTCGCCCACCACCTATCAAATACGACCCCATAC